ATCCTGCTAAAAGGCACCATAGACAATGAAGTAATATCATTACTAAACATATATGCACCAATTGGTATAGCATCCAAATTCTTAGAGGAGAAGTTCAGGGAGTTACAGGAAGAAATAGACAGCAAAATTTTACTAGTGGGGGACCTCCCCCTCCCCCTCTCTGAACTAGATAAATCTAACCACAAAATAAACAAGAAAGAAGTTAAGGAGGTGAATAGAACATTAGAAAAGTTAGGTATGATAGACCTGTGGAGAAAACTGAATGGGGATAGAAAGGAATGTACTTTTTTCTCGGTGGTACATGGCACATACACAAAAATAGACCATGTACTAGGGCATAAAAACCTCACAATCCAATGCAGAAAGGCAGAAATAGTAAATGCATCCTTTTCACATCATGATGCAATAAAAATTACATATAATAAAGGGCCATGGAAAGATAGACTAAAAAATAATTGGAAACTAAATAATCTAATCCTAAAAAATGATTGGGTCAAAGAACAAATCATAGAAACAATAATTTCATTCAAGAGAATGACAATAATGAGACAACATACCAAAACTTAAGGAATGCAGCAAAAGCAGTTCTTAGGGGAAGTTTTATATCTCTAAATGCTTACATAAATAAAATAGAAAAAGAGGAGATCAATGAATTGGGCATACAACTAAAAAAACTAGATAAAGAACAAATTAAAAATCCTCAATTAAACAACAAATTAGAAATATTGAAAACCAAAGGAAAAATTAATAAAATTGAAATTAAGAAAACTATTGAACTAATAAATAAAACTAAGATCTGGTTTTATGAAAAAACCAATACAATAGATAAACCTTTGGTTAATCTAATTAAAAAAGAGAAAAAAGAAAACCAAATTATTAGTATCAAGAAAGAAAAGGGTGAGACTACCACCAAGGAAGAGGAAATTAAAACAACAATTAGGAATTATTTTGCCCAACTATATGCCAACAAATTGGATGATCTTAGTGAAATCGATACATATTTACAAAAATATAAATTGCCTAGATTAACAGAAGAGGAAATAAAATACTTAAATAACCCCATCTCAGAAAAAGAAATTGAACAAGCCATTGATGAACTCCATAGGAAAAAATCTCCAGGGCCAGATGGATTTACAAATGAATTCTATCAAACATTTAAAGAACAATTAATTCCAATACTATATTAACTATTTGGGAAAATAGAAGAAGGAGTCTTACCAAATTCTTTTTATGATACAAATATGGTGCTGATACCTAAACCAGAAAGAGTCAAAACAGAAAAAGAAAATTATAGATCAATTTCACTAATGAATATAGATGCAAAAATTTTAAACAAAATATTAACAAATAGATTACAGCAACTTATCACGTGAATAATATGACCAGGTAGGATTTATACCAGGAATGCAGGGCTGCTTCAATATAAGGAAAACTATCAACATAATCCATCCTATCAACACCAAAACTAACAGAAACCACGTGATCATCTCAATAGATGCAGAAAAAGCTTTTGACAAAATACAACACCCATTCCTATTAAAAACACTAGAGAGCATAGGTATAAATGGAGTCTTCCTTAAAATAATAAATAGCATCCATCTGAAACCTTTAGCAAGTGTAATATGTAATGGGGACAAGCTAGAAACATTTCCAATAAGATCGAGGGTGAAACAAGGATGTCCATTATCACCACTGTTATTCAACATCGTACTGGAAATGTTAGCTTTAGCAATAAGAGAAGAAAAAGACATTGAAGGCATTAGAATAGGCAAAGAAGAAACAAAGCTATCACTCTTTGGAGATGACATGATGTTATACTTAGAGAATCCCAGAGAATCAAGTAAAAAACTACTTGAAATAATAAACAACTTTAGCAAAGTTGCAGGCTATAAAATAAACCCACATAAATCATTGGCATTTCTATATATTACCAACAAAGCCCAACAGCAAGAGATAGAAAGAGAAATTCCATTTAAACTTACTGTAGACATTATAAAATATTTAGGAGTCTACCTCCTGAAACAAACCCAGGAACTCTATGAACCCAATTACAAAACACTTTTCACACAAATAAAATCAGATCTAGATAATTGAAAAAGCCTCAGTTGCTCATGGGTAGGCCGAGCTAATATGATAAAAATGACTATTCTATCTAAGCTAATTTACTTATTCAGTGCCATACCAATCAAACTACCAAAAAATTATTTTATAGAGTTAGAAAAAATAATAACAAGATTCATTTGGAAGAACAAAAGGTCCAGAATATCAAGAGAACTAATGAAAAGAAATGCAGGGGAAGGTGGCCTAGCCATTCCAGATCTTAAATTGTATTATAAAGCAGCAATCATCAAAACTGCTTGGTACTGGCTAAGAAATAGAGTGGTGGATCAGTGGAATAGGTTAAGTATGCAAGACACAGTAGTCAATGACTATAGCAATATATTATTTGATAAACCCAAAGACCCCAGCTTCTGGGATAAGAACCCACTCTTTGAAAAAAACTTCTGGGAAAACTGGAAAAGAGCATGGCAGAAACTAGGCATAGACCAAAATCTCACACCATATACCAAAATAAAGTCAAAATGGGTACATGATTTAGATATAAAGGCTGATACTATAAGCAAACTGAGAGAACAAGGAATAGTTTACCTGTCAGATCTATGGAGAACAGAAGAATTCATGACCAAACAGGAGATAGAGAACATTATGAAAAGCAAAATAGATAATTTTGATTACATTAAATTGAAAAGTTTTTGCACAAACAAAGCCAATGCAACTAAGATTAGAAGGAAGGTAGAAAATTGGGAAAGAATTTTTACAACCAGTCTCTCTGATAAGGGCCTCATTTCTAAAATATCTAGAGAATTAAGTCAAATTTATAAGAATACAAGCCATTCCCCAATTGATAAGTGGTCAAAGGATATGAACAGACAGTTCTCAGATGAAGAAATTAAAGCCATCTATAGTCATATGAAAAAAATGCTCTAAATCACTATTGATTAGAGAAATGCAAATCAAAACAACTCTGAGGTACTACATCACACTTACGAGAATGGCCAACATGACAAAACAGGAAAATGATAAATGTGGGAGAAGACGTGGGAAAATTGGAACACTAATGCATTGTTGGTGGAGTTGTGAAATGATCCAACCATTTTGGAGAGCAATTTGGAACTATAAATGGAGCTATAAAAATGTTCATACCCTTTGACCCAGCAATAGCACTTCTAGGGCTATATCCCAAAGAGATCACACAAATGGGAAAAGGACCTACATGTACAAAAAATATTCATAGCAGCTCTTTTTGCGGTGGCAAAGAATTGGAAATTGAGAGGATGCCCATCAATTGGGGAATGGCTGAGCAAGTTGTGGTATATGAATGTGATGGAGTACTATTGTGCTATAAGAAATGATGAACAGGCTGACTTCAGAAAAACCTGGAAAGACTTGTATGGTATGATGCTTAGTGAAGTGAGTAGAACCAAGAGAACACTGTACACAATAACAGCCATGTTATGTGATGACTAATATTGATAAACTTAAACCTTTCTGGCAATACAAGGATCTAAGACATCTCCAGAGGCCTTGTGATGGAAAATGCTATCCACACCCAAAGAAAGAACAATGGAAGCTGAATTGTTATTTTTTTCTCTTCTGTTGAGTTTTGTTTCCTCTTTCTGATGGTTCCTCTTATTGGTTTTAATTTCTACTTACAACATCACTAATGTGAAAATATGTTTAATATGAATGTAAATGTATATAGCCTATATCAGATTGTGTGCCATCTTGGGGAGGGTGGTGGGGAGGAAGGGGGAGAAAAATTTTAAGCTCAAAAGCATGTGGAAGCGATTATTGATAAATCAAAATAAATTAATAAAAATAATTAAAAAAAAAGAAAATGTACTGAGAGAAAAAGCAAGGAGAAGGAAGACAAGGGTAAATTACATTACAGGAAAAGGCACAGAAACCTATTAGAGCAGAGGGAAAGAAGGGAGGGACATGAGCATTGTTTGAACCTCACTCTCAACAGATTTGGCTTAAGAAGGGAATAACATAATCAGTTAGGCATAGAAATCTAACATGCCCTATAGGCAGTAGGAGGGAAAAGGGGAAAGAAAAGGGAGGAGGCTAATTGAAGAGAGGTGGGACTGAGGGAGGCAGTGGTCAAAAGCAAAACATTAGTGAGAAGGGGAAAGAAGAAAGGAGAAAGAAAAGCATAAATGGGGGAAAGGATGGAGAGAAAGACACATAGTAATCATAATTGTGAATGTGATATATGAATGTAATCGAATACTATTGTGCTATAAGAGATGATGAACAAGCAGACTTCAGATACACCTGGAAAGACTTGTATGGTTTGATGCTGAGTGAAGTCAGCAGAATCAGGAGAATATGGTACACAATAACAGCCACATTGAGGGATGACTGACTTTGATAGACTTAACCCCTCTCAGCAATACAAGGATCTAAGACATTTCCAAAAGCCTCATGATGGAAAATGCTATCCACATCCAAAGAAAGAACTATGGAGTTTGAATGCAAATCAAAGCATACTTTTTGCTATTTTTTTTCTTCTGTTGTGTTTTGTTTCCTCTTTCTGTTGGTTCCTTTTATTCTAATTTTTTAGTTACAACAACACTAATGTGAAAATAAAAAGAAAAATAACTTGTATTTATTTTTCTGAGCATGTGTTGTTATTCCTCGGTAAGCTATCTGCAGGCAAAATTGTCATTGTTGTCTGTATATCCTCAGTGTCTTTCTTATTTGGACCAGACATCCATTTTCATCAGTGCAGAGAGCTCTTGGTGAGGAATTTCTGCTGGTGGTGCATACCACCACCTGCTCTCCACCTAATAGGTTTTTACATAATAGATATTTAATAATTATTTGTATAATTTGTAAATAATAATTTGTATAATTGTATTTTGTAATACCTTTGTAATAAAAATCCCTTAAATGAAAATAACACTTCTTCATTTATTGTTATCTTTTCTCTCTAGATCTGGATTTCATATGATGGAGCTAACAGTTTTGAGATAGTGGGAAATTTTTTTGATGATGTCATAATTTCAAGCTACCATAGTTTCCATTCTAAAGAGATTATCTTTGTTTCTCAGGCTTCAAATTTATATTTTTCTAAGGCAGGTGAGTCATTTAGATATAACAATTGAAATGTTGGGCAGATGCTAGAATCCAGTTATATTATCTAATCAAACTTTATTATCTAATTCTAAAATCCTCGTTCAAAACCCAAATGTTATTCCCATGGTCCTCTAATATTTTTTTTTTCTTCATAGCCAAGTTATGAGCAGACTCATTCAAGTTTTCTTTTTGCTTTTAATGTTCCTAAGGGTATTGGTTTGGCTAAAATCCTTCTCTGATATCATTATCATGGTATGGAGTTGATTCTATGTTCTTGAATTTCATGGCAGTTGAATACAAGCTGTGGCAGGTCCTGCCAAACTGGAAAGCCTTCTGATAACAGGACTAGTAATAGACTCCATATATGTCTTTGGAAGACCAGCCCAAGTGTATGAACACTCATCCCTAAAATGTTGGTCAATAGGTGATAAATGTTTTCAGTTACAGCAACTTATGAAGACTATCTAGATACCAAAGCACAGAAGGATTGCTGTCTGCATTGAAGGAAGAATTAATCACACTAATGAAATAATAGATTCTTACAGTTACCTGCTACACCACTATCAGATAGTATAGGTAAAATTCTCCATAGCTTTTGCCATTAAAAGAAGAATCCAAAGTGAATTTCATTTCCTAAAGTAGTTATGTAATACTCAAATTTTGTGTTTCAGTTTGATCATCAATCTATTTATTGATATCTGAATAATAAGGTAGCTTTGTTTTCCATCAGTGGCTCTGCTTGGTTTCCACTCCACAAGTATCCCTCCCCTGTTCCATCCATCCCTTTGCTTTCATGTTTCTTTTGTGTGTTGTCTTGTCCCATCAGATTATAAGCTCCTTGAGGGCAGAGATTGTCTTTATTTTTTTTACTTGTATTTTCATTTGTTATCATGGTGCCTGGTATGGAGTAGGTGCTTAATACATGTTTTTTGAATTGAATTGAATTTTTATTTTTTTTCTCACCACAAAGACTAATTAATGCAGTTATATATTCAGCTGAATGTGACTTGGGGAGCACCACAAAGTAGTTGGTGGGTTATGAGTTTGAGAGTGCCTTCCTAGAGCATACACTGTGCTTACAATATAGACTAAGATAATTTTCAGTTGTTTGGGAATTAGTTGCCCATTAATGTCACTGTAACCAGGACAATACCTAACCCTTGGAGGTAAACAGTAGTAATAGAAAGAAGGCTAGGTGCCTATATATCCATTATACTGAAGGTCCTCATTTATATAAGAAGCTGCTTTTACCAGAGGACTCTGCTGTGTGAAAGCCTGGTCAGCTATCCACCATATGATTGTAAATAGCTAAGAAGATTCTAGAGGAACCAGTTCTACAGCCCTTATGTGGTAAATCCTTTGTTGAATCTAATTGATTTTCTCTCCCACTTTATACAGAAGCTGTCCCAAATTTCTTTTTTTCCCTAAAGTCTTCCACACCTCTCGTAGTAGAGGATCTTGCTTTATACTTTACGAAGACTATTTGCTGTGATTTATCCTTTTCTAAATCTCAAAGCTGCTTTGACATTATTTCCCATGTCCTTCTCATTTATGCCAGTCTCTGATGAAGAGTTAACTCTTTAACAAATTTCCCTCTTAATCCTCTCCCTTCTCTCTCTAACCTTTAGTCTCTTCCTATCTACCAGTTCCTTCTTTCCTGCCTATGAATATGCCCAAGTCTCCCATATCCTTTAAAAAAAAAAACCCTCATTGGATCTCAAAGCTTTACATATGTCTTCCCTTTCATAGTCAAGTTCTTAGAAAACTGTCTACAATCATCTTCACTTTTTCCTCCTCTTATTCACTTCTCAACCTTGGTCTCTGAACCTGTTACTCAACTGAAATTGCTTTCTAAGGCCAAAGTTAGTCTTTATAATTATATAGCATTTAGTTTCTTTTAAAATATTTTATTCATATTATTGCAGTCATTATGTTTATTATTTTCTTGGTTCTTCCTATTTAACAGTATGTCAATCCATCCAAGACTCTCAATGCTTTTCAGAATTTTTCATATTTGTCATTTCTTATGATATAGTAATAGTCTATCATAGCAACATTTCCCAAAAGTTTTTGTTCCTTTTTTTCTGTAAATGCCTTTCAACAACAACCAAATAATGTGTCATGAACCCCAAGAGTAATTTAATATACTATTCATAATAATCTGAAATTATACTATTAAAGAATTTTAGTGAATCAAGAATCATCTATTGGGCAGAGCCAAGATGGCGGAGTGAAAACAGTGACTTGCTTGAGCTCTCCCCCAAACCCCTCCAAATACCTATGAAAAATAGCTCTAAACAAATTCTAAAGCAGCAGAATGAACAAAAAGACAGAGTGAAACAAATTTCCACCCCAAGACAGCCTGGATGGTTGATCGGGAAGGTATATCATACTGGGCGGGGAGAGGAGCACAGTTCAGTGTGGGCACGCAGGCCACAGCGACCCTGGAGCAGGCCTCAGAGGACTGAATCTTAGGTAGCTGTGGTGATTTCCAGACTTCTCAACCCATGAATGCCAAAGACAATTTAGAAGGTCAGTGGGAAAAGTCTGTGTCTGCAGGGAAAGATAAGCTAGGTCTCAGTACCAAGTTACAAGTAAGGTACAAGCAGCGGCTGCCTCCTGAGCTTCTGGCCCACAGACTGAGAGGGAATCGAGTGGTTGATCAGAGGGGATTGCAGGGTTCTCTTTGCCAGTGCCGAGGCAGGAATCTCTTGCTTTACTGGTGCTTGGATCTGGGTCACAGTTCTGAGGGGCGGTCCTGGGGTGTGGAGGAGTGCTGACTTGGTGGAGCTTGTTGTGGCTGTGGAGAGGGAACACCTCTCCCCTTATCATAGCACCTTCGAAGAACTGAAAATTTACAAGTCCCTAGAAGTAGCTCTGAAAACAGCTGTACAAACCCCCAAAGCTTGGGACAGGACATTCTTCACATTGGAAACAGACTCTTACTTTAACAAAGAGTTTAAAACTCAAGTAATTGGCCAGAATCATGAGTAAGCAGTGCAAAAAGAGTCAGACTTTATTATCTTACTTTGGTGACAAAGAAGATCCAAAACATACAACCAGAAGAAGACAACAAAGTCAAAGCTCCTGCATGCAAAGCGTCCCAGAAAAATATGAATCAGTCCCAGGCCTTGGAAGAGCTCAAAAGGGATTTTGAGAAGCAAGTAAGAGAAGTAGAGGAAAATCTGGGAAAAGAAATGAGAGTGATGCAAGAAAATCATGAAAGACAAGTCAACAGCTTGCTAAAGGACACCCCAAAAAATACTGAAGAAAATAACACCTTAAAAAATAGCCTAACCAAAATGACAAAAGAGGTCCAAAAAGCCAATGAGGAGAAGAATGCCCTAAAAAGCAAAATTGGCCAAATGGAAAAGGAAGTCCAAAAGATTACTGAACCAAATATTTCCTTAAAAATTAGAATAGAGCAATCGGAAGCTAGTGACTTTAGGAGAAATCAAGACACTGTAAAACAAATCCAAAAGAATGAAAAATTAGAAAACAATGTAGAATATCTCATTGGAAAAACAACTGACCTGGAAAATAGATCCAGGAGAGAGAATTTAAAAATTATTGGACTTTCTGAAAGCAATGATCAAAAAAAGAGCCTAGACATCATCTTTCAAGAAATTACCAAGGAAAACTGCCCTGATATTTTAGAACCAGAGGGCAAAATAGAAATTGAAAGGATCCACCAATCTCCTCCTGAAAGAGATCCTGAAAGGAAAACTCCTAGGAATTTTATAGCCAAATTCCAGAGTTCCCAGGTCAAGGAGAAAATATTACAAGCAGCTAGAAAGAAACAATTTCAGTACTGTGGAAACACAATCAGAATAACACAAGATTTAGCAGCTTCTACACTAAGGGACCGCAGGGCATGGAATATAATATTCCAGAGGGCAAAGGAGATAGGATTACAATCAAGAATCACCTACCCAGCAAAACTGAATATAATCCTTCAGGGGAAAAAATGGTCATTCAGTGAAATCGAGGACTTTCAAGCATTCTTGATGAAAAGACCGGAGCTGAATAGTAAATTTGACTTTCTAATATAAGACACAAGTGGAACATGAAGAGGTAAACAGGATAGAGAAATCCTAAGAGACTTATTAAGGTTGAACTGTTTACATTCCTGCATGGAAAGATGATATTTGTAACTCATGAGACCTTTGTCAGTATTAGGGTAGTTGGAGGGAAAAAATTATATGTATGTATGTATATAGATAGATAGATAGATAGATAGATAGATAGATAGATAGATAGATAGATAG